GTTAAAACTCTTTACGAAAGGAATGAAGCCACGGTTATGCTTCGTGGATAAGGGATTACAATGACTTCTATAAATAGGAATTATTACCTCTTTGGTGTAAAGGAGACCTCTCTGATGTTCCTAAAGAACTTTGATGTTTCTAAAAACAAATTTTGGGCATGGTTGGTGGGCTGAAATTGTCATTTTTTAACAAGAAAATGAGTTTACCGTTATCAATGGAGAATGCTAGAGAAACATGATAATTGATTCGTTGGGGCAAAAGTTCCATGATTTTGGTGTGGATAATATGCGGATTCAGCAACATGTCATACCTTACGTGAGAAAATCGGTTTATTGGGGGAAACGTTTAATGATCGTGTAATCTCCAAAATGGCTTATGTAAGCATGCCACAGCGATCAAATCACATAACTCTATTGGGAATCATTGGCTTACTCCAATCAATCATGAACTCTCAATGATGTGATTCACCTAGATTATCCGTGTTTTTGATGAGTGTAGAGCACGTTTACATGGAAAAGTTACAAAAATTGATGTTGCGTAGACCATTTTTAGATAAAAATGCATGCGTCAATAACTAAATTAAAAGAAAGCTCATGTTGACATCTTTTACCGTTAAAAAGAAAAAAGAAGAAAGATAGCACTTTTTTTCATGCTCTTCTATGGGAATCAGTTTTTATGTACATATGTTTTCTTTTTATTACATATATGATCTGTATCTGTGCAAAAGTATACTGGAAGAAGAACCTTTGCCCTCGTACATAAGGATAGATTTTTCCTATTAAGTTTCTTAATGTACTTTAAAGAAGACGTGTTAAGTTGTATAATATTCGTCTATGAATGTTTTCAAAACACATGTTCTTCAAAGATAAGGGATATTATTCTGTCATCTTAGATATTCCGCGTAAACTGTGTTCTCATTTATTTATTCTTCAGGTGAATATAATGCCATAAATTTAAAAGGAATTCATTCTGTAGTCATTTTACAAGCACTACTTTTCGCAGAAGAGAAAATGTTAAATGATTTTCACTTACTTTTATTTCAACATTTGCGTGTGAAATCACTTAAATGAATCTTTTTCTAGTAAATGCGAAATTTGTTGCCGACATACTGAATTCATTATGTCGTTTGTAACCGTGTGTCGTATCATTAAAGTTTTGTAAGCCATTTTCTATTTAAAGTGTCTGTCAATCACTCAGGGAATGTTCCTTATCTGTGTAAGGCGGCGACGACCAGAAAGAAGGCAAGAGAAGGAGAGAGGACGGGCGTAGCCGAAGGTTAGTGGATGTGCCCAATCGATGGGTGTTACGCTTTTGCCGACTGAGCATTCATTACACAATCTACGATCAAAGTTAATTCCACCGCCGTTCGGGTATGGAACCGAGGACATTGACTTGGTAGTCGCCATTCTACTCGGCTAATCCTGCAGGTGTCCTTATGTCTCAATCGAAAAATGCGTCCAAATTAATTTGTTATTCTCTTTACAACGTACAATTATTTCAGTGACGATACCTCGGTTTTCTAAAACAATGGAAGAGTCTGGATTTCGTCCGTAACGTCAGACAGGCACTTAGACCACTGTAGTATAGGAACTTATGGTTGAATTACAATGAAATGGACAGTACACGGAAATGAACAGTCAGGGAGAAAAAAGCATGCAAGAAGCAATAGAAAGTGGCGGCAACTTTGTAGGTGTGTACCTCTACCTATCGAGCATTCACTGCAATTGCTTTCTGGTCGTGCCTTCGTTACAGCATTGCAGCATTTAAGCTACGGTCTAATATGCTAGGTACTGAACCCGACCCCAATTGAATTCGATCGTCTCGCTTCTTATCTGTTATGCAATGAGACAGCTATGTTATGATTATGAGCAGTGTTAGATAAGTCGAAATGCCTGTGTTTCTTATATTTTTGATTGAGCTGACGGCAAGTATGATTGCCATGTCGCTTGTAACATCTAAATGAATGGATTACGCTAAAGCAGAATACCGCAAGGCCCTGTTTGAATACCTCTTCCAAAGGCATATTATATGTCGCAGAAAAGTTTAAGCTTTTCTTGAGTGTTACTTTGCTATTAAAAAGAAAATTTAAAATAAAATTTTTTAAATCAATTTATTGCATTTATAAAACAATTCCTTAATCTTAACTCTACGGTTCGCAATTCAATGCTCGCTGTTTACCCGTTGTTCTAATATAGGAGTTGCCAACTCTCTTGTTTACATTTTTTCCGATTTTTTTAAAATGTTTTTTGCAAGAACCGCCATTACGATCAATTCTGTCGTTTGGTAATAAGAAACTCTCTTCGCTTTAGCATGAATATATCTTCAAAATCAAATCATTTTCATTTTAAATTTCGAGAGTTTATAGATCATATTGCACTTCCCTGATTATTTGTAGTCTCGATTATAATAGTAAATGAAAAGAAGGCAGATAGGCAGAACGACGGGATAGAAGAATTCAGATGATGATTGGATCGACTTATAATCTAACGCCTATCTGAGTAATAGTAATACATATAGAGAAAGTGGAAGAGACTCAGACATCTTGAACGTGGAAAATGGATTTAGTATGTAAAAATATTATCCTGAAATTAATGGCTCAACCAAATTCGACTAAAGCAAACGTGCTTTTATTACTTTATAACAAACAAGACAGTAATTTATTTACATACACATACACACACAACATACACACGCACACCCAAAACACTTGCATACATACTTTATATTATGTAATCGTATGTTTACGTACATGAGTACATTTACCATTCATTGCGCGTTTGCATGTAAAAAAATGTTTTCTGGTAAAATAAATCATCGTACAGCATATATAAAGAAATCGCATTTCCGATATAAAGAATTTTACACTTTTGAGTTTTACGAGAAGCATACCAGCATAGCTGTTTAACGAATAAGAAAATCCCCTTTCTTTTTTTTGTCTGTTTTGTTCTGTGTGTTGTTGTTGCGTGAAATTTACGAAGCAATAAAATGAAACCGTGCTGCATAAGTAATTCAAAAGTTTTATATAAGAATATAAATGTATATATATATATATATACATAAAACATCTTTGAATGTATGAATGAGTGGATGCGAACCTATAAAGATGATAAGCACATAATTTTAAGTAGAAATTATATTAAATTATGTTAATGTTGACCACACTACCAAAAGCAATCTCAATATAATTGTTATTGATTGATGGCTTTATTAAATGCATTAATTCAATACTTTTTACATTTTATCAACGCATTTATTGCATTCCTTTGATGCTTCATTCCTTCATTGCATTTACTAAGCTAAAAACGTGCAGAAATTTTGAAAAGCGCATATATATGCATCGTATACAAATAGATAGTGAAAAATACAATGAAGAGAAAAGTAACAAAAAAAAAAAAAAAAGAAAACGTAAATGAAGACGAGATGATTGGCAGAGCAGCTGTTCTAGTTGAGTTAGTAAACATACAAGAAAATAAACATTCTTTTTTGTGCAGCTATGGTAATAAATGAAATATTGATAAGTAAGAAGTAACAACTACAAGCTGCTTGCTACATATCGCGCGCATTTCTTTGCTATTTTCAAGCACGTTTTTAATAGAAATTCTCAAATTCATTGTGCTGTTGTCAAAAATATTTTATTAAAGACGCTCTTCAACAAGATTGACTTTAAATTACAAGATTCTTTCGCCAGTGATACGCCAAGCTGCGATCTCTTTAAATCGACACTTCATTCTTTCAATTCGTGCGAGAAGTACTTTGTAAACCACTGGCAGATAAATTTGAATCTTCAACCGTCCTCTCTGGTATGGTGCACTACTTTTCGTTTTATAGACATTATCACGGAAAGAAGAAATCAACGGAAGGGAAGAGAAAAAGTTACGAAAAAAGGCAAGTGGGAGGAAGAAGCAAAAAAAAAAAAAAAGAACAAGATTACAAAATTTATAAAAATGTTTCGTCGCTGCTTTTGCCGGAACGAGTACAAGAAATGCAAATTGACGGTAACCCGCCTAAAACACGTTTGAACGACACGCTTTGGTTTTTTAATAAAATTTTTAGATAATTGTGAACAATTGCTGAATTGGATACGTGAGAAAAGACTAAAATAAAGATGTCACGACGTAAATCCGATTCATGTTTTCAAATTTTCAATTGGATTACTAAACGGTAACAATATTTGTAAACTATTTTCAAATATTTTTCTTAGAAATATATTGCAGCCGCCCGAACCTCCCCGAAATTAAGTTGCCACTACTGAGCATAGACTTTATTTAAAATTCTTAGGAAGATATATTAACAACTTGTTTACTGAAACTTATATTTACAATGGCTTGCCTAGCCTTGTCAGCATGAAGATTGACTTTGGTTTCCGGAAACATTCTGCTTTTATACGCTAGTACAAGTATGCTGGATATAAGCGTAACTTTGATATTTCCTCAAATGTTTTTCTTTTTGGAAATTCGGCAACCAATTGATTTATGGTACAATACGTGTCAAGATTTTAAGAAAATATTACTCAAGGTCTTTGACCTAGGGAAAGATTTATTATATTCTGATCTTAATAAAGCAAAATATTCCATCTTCTATTCAGTTCACTTTTATGTTTTCAAAAACGTCACACATGACAAGCGAGTATTTGCAAGAAAAATATTCGTAAGAACGATTCTCGGTCTGGTTGGTCAGCTTCTAATAATGTTGATCAAATTAAGGCTTTAAAGGATGCTAATCTACTTTTGATGACTTTAGGGTGTGCAAATAACCTTCGGCTACCTATTGGTCAATGAACTGTTTTTGCGAGCTTAACGGACGTTTTAAGTGATAAGTTAAGTGTTTAAAATTTAACGAATTTAATAAAAGTAAATGCGCGAAGTTTCTTCTTCGCCAATTTTTTTTATTTGATCTTATATCTTTTACTATCCTGACTTTTAAAGCAATTATAATTGCTTAATTGCAAGTAAACACCCAATTAATTATGTTTTTTTTTATTTCGTTTTCTCTTTTTAAGGATATTCATCTTATGTTCGCTTAGATGCCAAGAAAAATGAAGAGATGAGTTGGAACGTAAAGAAAGACATGATAATGATACCTGACGAACGTTTTACGGCAAATTTTCCCAGTTCAATGGCATTAGTGTCTACATTGCCCAGAGGTCATCATCGAATATCGACATATACAACCAGTCTTCCAGTATCGTTGCAACAAGAGCAACTACATCACCTCCCTCAGTCTGAATACGAACAACCGTTTCAACCAAACAGTGCAAGCAGCATAACAAGCTTTGATTCTTCAACGATGGATGATAGCAAACAATCAAAACAAATTATTGAAACTCAAAGATCAAACAATCGTATATTGACTAGAAGTACACATATTGTAGCCCATAAAGTGATAGGAATAGGATTGCCAAGTGTTCAAGAAAGGATTGATGTGAATTCATCGGCCGAAGATTCTAATGATATCATTTTTAATGAACCCATGCATTTTGGTACCGAAAATTCAACAGTGGTAACAACACAAATTGGTGCCGCTGCCCATATACCATGCACAGTACATCATATTGGAGACGGTGTGGTAAGTGAAAATTAAATACGAATTTTATTTAAAGGCACTTTTTATTCTTAAGGGGGAAAAACCAATGAAAACATTCGAATGACCATTCAAGCCAATAAAAAGAAGGTCGCCTAAGAGGATTGCTTTGATATCTCATTTTACATAATTTAATATTATGCCCATACTCCCAACTAAATATTGGATGAAAAATTTACGTTCATACTGGTGTGCAGGGATGTAGGCGGCACCGCAGGCAGTCGTTTTTTCGTCTGTTCTTGCAATACAAAGTGCGTTCTTATGCCTATCACCGAAGGATGGGGTTATATTGATTTTGTAAGCATAATGTTTGCAACATCCAAAGGGAAGTTTCAGAGACCCGATAAAGTATAGGCACTCTTGATTAGCGTCCCTCTGTGTGTCTGAGTTTTGTGAATTGTTGACATTATCATGATCGCAAAAATGAAAACATCGACGTCAAATTTGGCAGAAATAGTGGATGTTTTTGCGCGCAGTTTGGTGTTGAATATGGGCCAAAGAGGGCAGAGAACAAGTCCGCATAACGCAACTGCATTTTTCTAAACACAAATTTATGGATTTTTGATCATGGCTGAAAATTATAGAAGATAGAAGGCTGATTCTAGTCGTTATGTGGAAAAATGAAAAAAGTCGTCCATGGCGAAGCGATTCAAGTTTTGTTTTTCACTTTTTCGGGATTGTGTGCTTATTAATCGTAAGATAAGCCCGCCACGATGCTCAATGAAGTTATATTATCTGCCTAAAAATATGTTAATTCTAGGAAAAAAATGGTGGATACCACGACGTGGTGGTTTAATTTCTTCTTAAAAGTACCGTGCATATGGGTACTAAATAAAAGGACTTGTAGAGTACAATGCGACAAGCCAAGCATGTCGATTCTAAATTAATTGCGATGGACGTCACGACATAGTTTATTGACTCTTGCTGAACAATATCTTCCAGCGAATTAAGAGGTGGAAGATAAATTTTATGCACTCCCTTTTTATAAGTCCCAGTCGAATATAACTTTCTTACTTGTTTTTTTTTTATTTTGATTATTAGCAATCACTCAGAGAATGTGCTCTATAGCGAAGGTAAAGTTCTAAAGTAAGCAAGACTTTTTCAAAATAGCACATTGTACATGCGTCATCCACTGATTGATTTATGATAATTCAAGCTTCCGTGAAAGCTTTCGGTGAAATTATAAAAGGTCAATCGCAAAAAGCAATTTAAACGAACTTTCGTCGAACATGTAGACCTTTGAAAGGTCCTTCCCTCCTTTGCCTCGCATAAATTGATTGATGATCAAAGTTTGCATAAAACAGTTGCATCAATTGCCGATGTTTTAAAATTGCAATTTAAGCAATTACTTGTCGAATTAGCTCCTTTATCACCGTCTACTTTTTATCTGCTTGACAGAAAAAAAAAAAAAACATCTTTTAACGGATGAAAAGCGTGGAGACCATCCACAACGTGAATCCTTTAATATAAATTAAAAAAAAAAAATCATTGTTTGTGGAAGAACATTTGCACAGAAGTTAAAAAGAATATTGAACGTTTAAAGACGAGTCCAACAGAGCGAACGCGAAGTTGCAATGCACCACGTATCTAGTTTTTAAGACAGTGATTAACGTGTACAAGAAAACTTTGTTTATATACGAAGCTGCTTGAATCCTCTGACCTGTGCAATTCGCAAGAACTTCAAAACTATCGACGATCGATAGCGTTTTTACGCGATTTCTTTTTTTTTATCTAAGCATTGGCCGGCTCTTTACTAGAATATGTTCATGTTGGCCAGATTTTATTTATATATTGTTTATTTCCGCAACTAAGAAGCAGCTAAAATGTGAACGATGACCGCCGTATTTGGAAATCGAAATTAGAGGTGACTGAAGATGTCGAATCAAGCGCGGGAATAAAAATACTATTAAATATCTCTGAAAGATTAATATATTGAGCCGTGATAAAAAACACAGTGAGAAATTGGCAAAATGAAGCTTGTAATCAATATATTTGAACTAAAAATCGTATTTTAACCATCAATCACGCGCCGAATATATCTGATTCCTTACTTCTTTACACTTGCTTTTTTTTTTAATTTGGCCAATCAGGTGTTGTTTCCCATCCGTTTTGAGCGTGTGCCCAATCGGTAAGTATTACAATTAAGTACAGTGCCGACTAAATCAAAAACCCTTCCATGTCGAGATTTGCGGATAAAAGAAAAATTTGTGCCAACTCGGAGATCGTTCGAAAGGTTTGCACCGATGCAAAAAGCGTGCTGCCGTCTACACTTCTGCTTTTTACGCGTGTTTGGCAAAATGTCTGAATGCTTCAAGTTCAGACAGCCTTTCCTACGCAGCGCCACTAGAATACACTATTTTGAAAAAATCCTTTGTACCTTACAAGGCACCCTTGACAGTCTGAAGAATTGGAATTTCTGCTCGTCAGGTTGGATCGATCGATTTCGAGTAATGATTGAGGGGGCATTTAATTCTTCACCATTTTGTTCTTGTTTAACGTGCATCATCTTTGTCAGGGAACAGAAAGAAAAATTCAAATTCGCGAAATAATTAAATCAGTGCGACATATATCGATGATGCATCCATTAAGCGGTTGAAAAGTCAAAATCTCTTCTCTGCGAATAGTTTTTCCAATCATCAATAACACAGTGACATATATAGTTGTTGTTTCTACAGCCACAAAGGGGGGTGAGAGAAGGCTCATTCATTGCTTTTTCATATGCAATTAGTTATGAAAGCTGTGTATGGACGGTATGCACATTTAACTTTTAAGGCGTGAACGAAATTTGGTTACGTTAGCATCTTTAAACTATTTTTGTGGTGATCCAAACTAATCGATAGGTCAATGGATGTTATGCTATGCACATTGGCATTCTGTGAAAAAGTGCAAAAAGTCGTTACATGCAACTGCGAGTAAAAGTTTTTAATCCGCTTTAATTAACTGACAGCATAAGTTCATTAAAGAAGTAAAATATTTTATTGCTTTTAGAGGAAAACGCACTAATACTCAAATAGATTTTTTTTTTTTGTTTTTTTTAAAGACTTTTTTCATTATTTAATTTCTCCTTTGGGAAGTTGTAACGTAATGCATTTAAAACAGTTCGGGAAGTATAACCGCCTAAGCATTTAACGGAGTCCTTGTTATTAAGTGCACGCTATTCAATCGTAAATCGTATTGTCTTTAGTAACTTTTGATTGCTAATGAACTCTCACTCAGCTTTACTGTCAGCTAATGTCAATCTTATTTCTCGAAATCAAGCACAAATTATGTGAATGGTTCAATCTGCAGTCAATGTTATTTCCTCTTCATATATATATATATATATATGTATATATATGCTATGTAGATATAATTTTTTTTTCTTCTACTTTGATTTGCTTCACTAGTGTGCTTAGATAGATTTATTTATGGTGGTAAAGATCTACGCAAAATGTGCATAGCTGTGATGTTAAGTAGACAGGGTAGAGGGTGCGTCATCGAAAAAGTGTTGAGCCTATGAAAATTATAATAAAGATTACATTTACATTATTAGCAGAGGAAAGGATTACACCTTATCTTTTTCGATGTGACCTTTTGGCTGAACGGTTCCGTTCTATTGGCAAATGGTTTCAAGCTGAAATAGCCATGTTATTCGATAAACATCTCTGCTTTGCTACCAGTCTGTATTCACCATTGAACAGCAGAACGTTGAATAGCGTAAACTAAAAGCAAAGCAAAAGTTTTAGCATATGAAAAATGAATTTAGAACAAAAGGGCTCAATACTTTTTAGACAGAAGTGTTATAAACCAAGTGCCTCTTACATAACTTTTCTTTTTTTTTTTTTTTTTTTTGATTTTTGTTTAGGTTTCTTGGATAAGGAAAAAGGACTATCATCTGTTAACGGTGGGATTAACGACCTACAGCAGTGATGAACGATTTAGTGCCACACATCTCAAGCATTCAGAGGTAATAATAAAGCAATTTTCTTTTTGTCTTAAGTTATCTAGAAAAGGTATTTTAAAGTTAATGATTCTTGGAGAAGGCGGATATTATGCAATTACTTACCAGCAACTAACTTATGATCACACACTGGCCTCTTCTATTGTGTTTTGCGCATAAACCATAATATACAAGTGATTTCTTTTTAGTTTCGTTATTACTATTTTGCACATAACTCATACGTCACGTTTCTCAGTCATGTATGCGCATGATGCTCTAAAAAATATGCTATAAATTATAATTTGATGCGTTATGCGTTTGACACGAGGTGACGGGGGTTAACCAAGTTTTTTCCTTTAAGCGAATATATAGTTTATTTTATTATGTCGTCGTGCGTGTTCATAAATTGTGTTAAAAACGTATGTTAGCATATAGTTGTATATATATATATATATATAAGTGATTGAACGAATCCATAAATATTTGTGTTAAAACAAAGTGTGCGTTACAGGATTGGACGCTGCAAATAAAATATGTGCAATCACGTGATGCTGGTATTTATGAATGTCAAGTATCAACTCATCCACCAACATCGATTTTCCTACACTTGAATGTTGTCGGTAAGTTTTATTGATTTAATATAAGAATTGCTTCACTTAAATATTGACTCATACTCATGGCTAACGATATGTATGCAAGATCATGTCTGCAAACTTCCAGACATGTTCTGCTCTTTATTTACACTTCACTTTGGCAAACAAATTTTATCCCCAATACTTCACAAAGATAAGGATATATAAGTTTATTGCATTGTTTGCATCGTTCAGATATACTTATCGGTTAATTCAAAGTGATTATATATATTTTGAAAATTTTCCATTGCCATTGTTTTCTTGCCGTGCTTTAATTACGGTGACCTACTCATTCATCTTTAAATGCTTCTGAACAAAAGCAAGTGCAAATTTAAATGCCAGTGTGTCCGAATGGGTAGATCGCCGGTCAATAATATATGCAAGATTGCGAAATCGCTAGAAATCTCGCCCGGACTAGGCCTTATATATGAATATGCAAGAAGAAGATTGAAAGGTTTTTGAAATGATCGAAGATCTATTGCTGAGCCAAAAAAACTTGGTTTCTGTGCAAATCTCTTTATTATCCCAAATTTATTTGGTCGCCTTAGAAGTAATCGTCAAACTCAAATAGTATTCCTTAGTAACGGTTGGGCCCGTTGGAAGGTATTTATAAAGCACAACACCACGATAATCGAACACAATTTTTTAACTTCACTTTAATTTTTGGGCGACTTTGGCGCGGTTTTTTCGAACTTGGCTGATCTTTTCCACCATATTTGCTCGATTGATCGGTTGTTTCCTTGATATATAGTCAGAAACATTGTAGAAATCGGCAAAAATACTTCTTGTGTCGTACAAAAACTCAGTGCACCCTTTTTTTTTTAATGTGAACCCTGTACGCACAATGCAACGACTATCGGAAAGAAGTAGGGAAAGAGGGCAGAGAAGTGGCCGCAAGCTTCGTGAGTGTATGCCAATTGGTCCGTCTTATGCCTTAACCGATTTGAGCACTCACTCTAACTATGACCCAAACTAAACTATTTCGCATTGAGACTTGAAACCCGAGACCACAGACATGGTAGTCTCCGCTTTTACCTACTCGGCCACTCATGCTGAACGTTCAATGGCATTTATGAGGTGGAATTTAAAACTGATATCTGTCACAGTGCTACCAATTTAAAAAAAAAAAAATCTTATATTCGATATACCCGAACAATTTAACTTGAGTATGGGGTTTTACTTTTTGGTCACAGTATTACTTGGCTTTTATCAGCATTTAAAGCAATCTATTAAGGAACATATTATTAAAATTGAAAAAATGCTGCTTAGCAGGTCTTTTTATCTTAAAGCTATCGTTAAAAATATCTATTTGGGAAATTTTGTTTTTCCTTTTGGGATTTCAAATTTGCGTTGTTTCGAAAGAATGCAGTTTTCTTCGAGAGCTGGAAACACTGTCTAAAAACTTTGTAACGCATAAAAAATCATAAATATTTCTTAATCACTGTGTGTAGAGGAATTTACATGACAGTTCTCCTGTCTGTAAGGAAATCCCCATCATCCCGTTTTCCCGGGATTTTCTCCAAAAGAAAAAGTTTGGTTGCAACTGTTTCGCTCTTATGCACAATGATTAAACATATGATAAGCAAAAGCACAATTTACGATTCATAAAATACAATATTTGTACGCGTTCACTTTATTGGGAATGATATCTCTCATGTATAAGTTTGGTAATTTTATTCATTTATTGACGATGAAATATATATACGATATAAATGTGATAAATTACTGAAGGTTTTCCTCGTTTCAACGCAAATTTTCAGTTAACGAGATATGATGGTATGATGGTATGATTGTTAATTGCGGCGGGAGAGGGGAGACGAGTATTTTATTTTTATAGTTGCACGCCTAGTTGGGAGTAACAGGAGCAGAAATAATAGAAATAAAGAGATTCAAATTACTTGTGTGTGTTCGAGAACGCACCTTCCATAGTGGGCATTGTAAAATCCGCACTAAGCCGACTGCGAATTCTTTTTGTTGTTACTGTAACAACTTTGCCTTTGTATGTTTCGTATGTTTCTTAGTCGAGTTTCTAAAATTGAAATTTTCTTTTATCGGTATCAAGGTGAACACTACTATAACATAAATCAACATAAGCTCAAATTCGTTTTTAAATCCCTCAAAGCAAGGAGAAGCTGTCCAGGGTGTTAATTTACCTAATAGAAGATGAGGTTAACCTGTAACATTTTTATGGGTGCATTTTGCTTTAATGTTACACTTTTTTTAAACTTGTGCAAGATGTTTTTTTTCCTTGCTTGAATTGAGAAAATTTATTCGACCGAATTCTTTAAAAACATTTAGTGTGTTGTACTTTCAATTTTTTAGTGTCCACTATGGTGTTGTGCACGACATTGGGTGGCAACATAAAACGTAATTGCATTTGTCAGATGTACCTTGTATATCAGATCACGTATACTGAACAAGCGATGTATATCAAATCATATTTTTATATACGGCCGCGTCATTTCACAGCTGATTGTGGAAAGCAAAAACAAAAGAAAAGATATTTTGATCTTTTGGTAACCGCCACCAAATGGTGTACGATATGTCCGGTCTGAGAGTTTGCAAAATGCTGTGCAATGCATTCAATCGGTATATGGACAGGGTAATCTATATTTTCCAATACATATTGTTTAGTGCCTATAAAGGGTGCCCCAAGGATAGGGTTATGGATGGAATAGAACATCGGGCAATGCATGAATGGTTCTTTGCTAGTTGGAATGTACCTTTGACTTCATAAAACCCCATAGAAAGAAATCCAGTGTTGTTAAATAACATGGTTCAGTTAAATCTGTATTCCGATCATATTTTGCAAAACATTTGCGAATTGTAGGCGCGCAACTTTCATTAAATTTTGAAATATTGCTCAACAATGAAAACGCATTGCTCTCTCGGGCAATGTGTTTACTGTTACTAACCCTGAAAACAATTTGGCAGCAAATTCAAATCATGTGTAAATTTTGGGACACACTACACTTTAAAAGACAATTCTACACGATTGGAAGGACTTTCTGGACAGTTGTATAAGTTACATATATTTACATACTTCGCAACATGTACGTGTGGCCCAATTCTTGATCCGATTTCTCCTATGTTTGATATGCACCCGCAGTTTTTTGTTACCCCAAAAATTTAAGATTTGATTTAAAGTTCTGACCTAAACACTCTACAATTTCGACAGAGTAACTTAGAAAGTGAAAGAAAAATACTAGAAGAAATGTGGCGACTGTGATGGGCTTCAAACTTCGGCGCTTAAGAATGATAAGAATAAATGTGTGAGACTTGGTTTGTGTCTGTCGTTGATTTTCGACTTTGTCTAGATAAATTCAAGAATTATATGCATACTATATGCGATGTCTTCTGCATATTTCTGCATATTCGTTACGAAATTCTGGCAAATTTAATATACTTTTCATGGTTTTATTTTTAAATTTAATTTTACTTCCGACAGATCATATCACAGCAGCTCAAGGGTTATTTGGCAAAGGGTTTGTAATGTTGATTCATATAATAATATCATATGTAAACCATAAAATGATATAAAAAAATATACTTGAAAATAAATATAAAAATTAAAGTAAAATGGAAAGAATAAAAATTGAAATAAATAAATAAATAATAAAAAAAAAACAAGGAAATTTTTATTTTTAATTAAAATAGCAAAAAGCAAACGATAACCAGTAGTAAAGTTACAATTGGTCACCCACAACCACAACCTTAAAAAAAAGTTAGAAAAAGAAACAAATAAAAACATTATAATCGGCAACGGCCTACCATTAAATACCTTACACCATTGCGCTCATTACGTTTGTTCATATAAGGTTCGAAAACTTATGAAGTCCGTTCTTGAGCTAAAGCACATGGGTATGTCAAATTTCATCAAAATATCTCAAAAACTCCCATCCATTGAACCCAAAAAAAAAAAACAGGATGGACAAACGGACAGACGGGCGGACAGACAAGCTTAGATCGATCAAGAAAGTGATTCTTAATCGATTGGTATAATAATAGGTCAACGTAGGCAATATGGAATAGTGTACACATGGAAAAGCTAGCATCTTCTCGCTGTCGCACACACAAAAGAGTACAGCTGTTCAAAATAACGCGCCATATGGGGGTTGGTCGAAAAGTTGGTCCGATTGGAACCCTTGTCAATAGCGTTTTTCCTTGAGTCAGAACGGGTCAGTGTGCCAAATTTCATCATATTATCTCAGTGTGAATACAAGAGAGAGACGGACAGGTGCATAGGCAGATAAACTTAGGATCCAGGAAGTGTTTCTTAATCCATTTCAAGTTCTTTTGGGTATGGTGTACATCTCCACAAACTTAATATATTCTTGCACATGAACTGGTGTAGGGCATAATAAAGAGAAAGAACAGCATTTCGGAGTTCGGATCTGAAAAGAGTGACATTCGAGAGATACATTCAGATAGCGACTTGAGATTACAATCGTAACTTAAATTAAGGCGAGCAAACAAGCACGAATAAAAATCGGTTCTGCTACTCACGCTGGCAGAGAATGTCCATCTCACCCTATCCTGCGTACTTAAATGCAAGAAATAAACGAGTAAAACGTTATTTAACTCTTTTAAAAATAATCTCTCTTTTAGAAGCTCGTGCGGAAATTTCAGGACCATCGATACGCTACCTCACACCGGGATCGACATTAAGATTATTATGTCGAGTTGTTCAGAACACGGAAATATCTGAATATATTTTTTGGTATCACGATAATCGCATGATTAATTATGATATCGATCGTGGTATAAATGTTTCAACAGAGCCAGGTAAGTTTTAGAAGCGTGACAAACGATCTTAAAAAAAGACAATTTTTCAGGAACATTTTTGAAATCTTCTGCTTGTAAGGCAAACAAAATTATCTCACTCCGTATAGATTGAATAGCAATGTGCGCGTGGAATACCTCCAAAAAATTGAAAAAATTGAATGAAACAACGGTTGTGAACAAACAACTGTGCTCATTACATTTTTGCTCTTGTGCAAAAGTTTCTAAGCAAATGCTAACATCGAACTAAACGAAAAGTGAACAAAATTGCTACTTGTTGAACAAAAGAAGAACAAGCAAGAGCGCTGCATCGTTGAATGCCTTACACCATGCTGCAGGCATTGTAACGCTTTTCCAACTAAGTTGTTCCATGAGAAATGTTTGAAAAAGTAGTCTAATCCGGACCATTCTCAGCAGCGTTCATCCTTGGGCCAAACTACGCCACAAAGCATACCGATTTTCCTAAAGATATTTCAAAAATTGCGACTTTGACATTGAATACAAGAAGACAAGATCGGGAGACAGACAGTTAAGTTTAGCGATCGGTGTATTAGAGGATGGTTTTTCGCAAGCTCTTCTGGATGTTGCATAGCTTCGCACAAACTTAATATACCCAATATGCACCATAAGTAATGTAGAGAATAAAAAGGGCTATAGGATGAACGGGCCTATTTATTGGCTATTATGTTAACCCTCCAACCAAATTCAGCTTCCGAAAGATTGCTGCCTGGTGGCTTGTTGCCGAGAGTCAAACCTCTTTAAGTGGCATTCAAAAAAATGTTGACTCCTTTGTTCTGGAATACAGATGGTATTGCGCTCAATGATACGCTGAGTTCACAATTCAAAAAATTACAGTTCTAAACGAGTTCGGCCATCATTAATATATACATAAAAAAAAAAAAAAAAATTTAAGCAAAAACAATTGCACACGCACTTGCCATTCAACCTCTATATATCATCGCCAATGCGATTCTTCTAATATTAGAGTGCGGAGCCCGTGGAGTATTTTTGCTTTTGTTTGTGAAAAGAAAAAGATTCCTAGCGTTGCTTGAACGAATTTTCACTTAAAAAAAAAAAAAAAAATACTTCGTTAGTGTTCCTTTAAGGAAAAGTTTATGAAAATATTTTCCCAATTTTTCGGCGGGCGAGCTATGTCATGTGACTTTTACAAAAACTATAAAGTATGTATACGAGATATGTTCACCCTGCGTGTGACCATCCCGGCCATCCCGGCCATCCCATACTTAACTCAGCTTGCGAGTATCTATGAATAGCTCGAAGGCAAATGTAATTGTTTGCTTACTTTATGCTATTTATTTTTATACAATATTAACATTTTTCTATGAGGAAAAAATGTAAAAAATATATATTACTTTGCTTTCATTTAAGTGAAATTGTTATTAAATTTTTAAAAATTTATTAATAAAAATTTATACATTTGCAATTTAGATTTTCAATCTTCAGAGTTAATGATTTCGAGAACGCGAAGGGAGCATTCAGGAAATTATACTTGCGTAGCGAGCAATACGCAACCGGCTAGTGTTTTGGTGCACATCTTTAAAGGTAAGATTCAATTCCTTTTTATTGTGTTGTTTATATCGAGAGCCAAAGTTTGTTTTTTTTTTTTGCGTTTATATCACTTTATCTCACCTATTTACCTGGATTTATTTCAAATTGTTTATGGATGATTCATCGTTTTATATAATTGTTTTAGAATGACTATGGGATAAAAGTTAAACCTGGTCTTAAAGAAATTCTTTAGACAAATGCAGAGATGCTTGTAAATTGCAAACAATAAAAAGTACTTTTACAACTGAGAGCAATAGTGACAGAGAAAGAATAAGTAGTAGTGTTTTCATTCCCTTTGAGAGTAAAGGTGCAGGACACAATTAGCCTGTGCATTTTTATATCTAGCGAAAGGCATGACGCGTATATTTGATAAGAAAAGATTCTAAACTAGACTAAACGAGAGATTATGACTTACGGGTTGCGCTTCGTATTTCATAGTGCCTTCAGGAATGTGTCCTCACATGCATTTACCTGGCATTCTTTTTTCTGATTAACATTGGTGTCAATCGAACAGTTATGATCTGTTCCGAAAGGGGCTACTTTCTTATGGCGATATTCCGAAAACCGGTTTTTGCGGATAGCCGCAAAAGACTTAAAGTGTTTTCAACGGAATTCATGAAACGTGACCTTGACGATTGCCCAACTATTGCCGATTATTTAACGCTGTATAATATATTGTTTTTGTTACTACGCCTTATGCTTGCGCCTATATGTAGGTTGATATCACGTTTCCGCCATCAGAAGTGCAAAGTTAGCACAGAGCATTTTTTTTGTCGCTTTCGTCTGTTGAAATTGGAATGTCAATAATATGGACGCGCGAGCTTGCCCACAGTTATCAAAAAATTGCCAGCTTCCCCTTTTGCCTCTTTTTGGGTTTTAAAGAGAAGTCGAACTGAGACTCCCGAAAATATTTTATATAAATAAAGAACACTGTATGCCTTGCATTTCGTGCAATTACTAACAGGAATCTGCAAAATTATGTAAAACTATAATTTCATATATATATGACATGGTATATAACACAAGCTGAGTAAACGACTGATGAATGGCGGGTATTTTATGTAAAAAATCCCTACCATGACAAATATAACTTTATGTTTATTTTTTTCATTTCTTAGAACGTTTATGTAAACGTCTCTTGGCGTACAAAAAGCTATTTTAGACAAACGTTAAGTCTGGTAAAAAACATGACGATTTTTCAATGACTAAATATTATAGTAGACTTTAAAACAAAAAACATAGTTTAAAGAAAAATGTTGATGTAACTATAAGCGAAGCAATCAAAAATGGCGCGTTTGCATGGAAAACCTGTGCAGGTTTTAAAATCTACGAGCTGCATTGGTATTTGTAACAGGCTGGCAGATTAGCGTATCGTATTTTTGATGCGATATAGAACAAGTAAAAATATTGTAGTCTGAAAACGCCGACTATTAAATACCCTACATCAGTTCGTTTAATATGACTCTTCATTTAATTAAGCCCTTATATGCGAGAGAGGTCAGAACGTGAATTGACCTCAAGCTCCAAAAACCTGTTGTTTTTTATCTAAGGTACCAAAACCTAGAATTTGGTTGCCATATAAAGACTTATTTTTTATCAGAATTCTTATATGACCTGTGATTCAAAAAATACAACCCTGTAGTCCAAGGTTGGCAAAGTCAATTTTTATGTGGTAAACTAATAAAAATTTTATTTTTCGCCATTATTAAGGCTTGTTTTTCGTAAATAGAAAGGGGTTCAAAAAATTTGTCTATGTAATAGACATTTTTCGCATTAATTTAGTATGTTGAGATACTTGAAGTCAGCGACTTCCGTTCAGATGTTCTGCAACATGAAATGATTTCCTAAAATAAAGTTTTATATGGGCGCGGTCAAAAAAATAGCCAGCGTACGTCCTTGGGCCAAAACATGTCTAAAATAGTTGATAAATCGCGACTATTTACAGATAGCAGAGAGACAGACAGACAGACAGATAGGCGGACAGACGGACGGACGTTACGATGGACGGACACGTGATGGGAGGATGGATGAGCAGACGGACCGGAAATTTGGCGGGCAACAGATAGAAGAAAAAAGTAAACTTAAGTCATATCAGATAATGATTCTAAACCAATTGAATTGAGAAATAGATTTGCCTTCATTTGAGCGCTATATGCACCGGAACAAATCTACTAAACACTTTACCGCAAGTGTTGTAGCGTCTGACAATGGCAAAATGAGTGCAATGACTTCCATTTCAATGTAATCTGATGATATCTCTAATATAACTTGATTTAATTTTATGCAACAATACGTAGTGTTATCTTTGGGAGATAAAATTTTTCGTTATGATGTAAGAAAAAAAAAATTTTTTATTTAATCACTTGCCGTCATCCAGGGATTTTTACCTTTGAAAAATATTAATGCATATAATTTTTTTGTTTTTACAAATTGCGTCAACTGCCATTGTTACAAATAGTGTTTTTTTTTCTTCTTTTATTTTTTGCAGGTGATAATCCGGCAGCAATGTATCATGGTCACGTTGGATCCTCAACAAAGTCTTGTCAAAATGTTGTGACGTTTTTCGTTATCATCGGTTTTAGAATATTTCATATGAAAATTGTATAATTGCTGTATAATTTAAGTGAAACCGCAACTAAAGCGTTATTACTATTACAAAAGAGAATAAGTAAATAGTGTTTTTTTTTTTTTTTTTTTGTTCTTTTACAAAATATGCTGTATGTACATAAATGCATAAATATATAGATAAAGGGAGTTAACATATGCATATAAACGGAATATAGGTTAATTTGGTAGATGCCTGAAATAAGTGTTTTCAGAAAACTGTTACAATGTTCTTGAAGTACCCAACGCAGCCAAATAATACACTAGTAGGCTGAATTTCAGTGAAAATGCATATTTGCAATTGCAAGCGCGGTAGATAGGTAGTTCACTGTTTATTTAATAAAGATCTACAAGCGTGACGAGTTTTTGTGTGTTAAAGACTCTTTTTTATCCCTGGGGCATATTCACTTTGTTATTTTTTAGTTGCCACCTAAAAGTAGACTTTGGAGGCTTTAAAAAATGCATGAATTTCGGTTAGTTTAAAAAGAATCCGCATTTACCTAATAGCGTTCAGTAAAGAATGCAATGGCAAAAATAATTTACATTCAGCTGTCTTTTGAAACTTGACAATCGGGTATAGACGAAGTTAATTTACCTTAACACGATTACGATATACATTTTCAGCTTTTGCTGTATCTTAAATGTCTTTTATCTTGAGCAGATTCTAATAAGAAAAATTAAAAAACGAAAAAATTTTTTTAATTAATATGGAAGTGCGTCATTTAACAAACACAAAAAAAATCGTAGGAATCTGGTTTTTGATATTCTAGTCGTGGAGCCCATATATATGTAGCACTAATCTGCTAATTTTTGATATACTTGACTTTGGAAAAGTACATGTTGAAGTCCCACGTCAACTTTGACATCTAATCGGCCCAATGATATCAACAATGTACATAATAAGTAATGTATTTCCATGTTTTTGACTTTAAGAATATGAAAAAAAAAATTGGATCAAGAAATAAGAAATAATGAAATGATTTGACTATGAATATCTTATGTTACGAAAGCAATGACACATTTACTATACCAGCACTCTTGGAGAGTAAATGCAAACATTTGCAAATTTTTCGGACAGCGTTATATGGAAATGAAACTCTATAGTGTAGTGTAACAGCACCAAGTACGTGAGTTGGAACCAAATCTCTGACAACTGCAGTTATATTACACTCTACGAACGTAATATTTTAGTTGGGTTTTAAGGGATCACATGAAATGATAAAATTTCGTTTTTTCCTTGCGCACTTAAACACTCGCAAATCCATATCTGTATAGAATGGCAGCAAGAATCCAACCACTACATGATATTAAAGTTTTTTTTCAATGCTTAACAACTTGCAACGCGAAAAGTTTCTTATGTAACTATGTCAACGATAACTTGCATAAGATTAAATTTAAACCTTATTTGACTTCGCAAGAGTTACTCGATATATCAGTAACAAAAATATTTATTTATTTATTCTCCCTGACAATCGATACATTTTACACACTCTGAAGTCAATTTTGAAAGCATTTTTCCACGCAAAAATATGAAGTGTGTTTGTGTAGCATCAATGAATCGTTTGTTTTTCACTTATGGAAGAAGGAAAAAAGCTCTTGCTGCCGAATCAAGACTATATGACAAACGATTCATTAGTTCGACTCATTCGTTTGTTAAGTAGAGAATATGTCGTCGTTTTGCTCTTAATCGTCGAACAAATTGCTTTAATGCAAATTAATTTACGAAGCACTACATTTTTCGCTTTGTTGTTTATTTTCCAAGAGTTCGGATAAACAACTAATTGCTTTGTAGACGGGATTCAACTTTCCATGTCCTTCTAAAATCATTTGGCTAGAGCGCAAATGCTCTTCACTTCGTCACGGATCCCTAATAAGTACTTTACGCCACTTCGGTTAATACAGTTACTCATAATAAGACTTTTCAAAATAACGCATTATAAGGGAAGTGGTCCAAAAGGGGTCCCAAAAAGTCGGATCGAAAGCATTTTTAATAGCTTTCGTCTTTGAACCTTGGAACAACTCGGTGCATTAAATTTTATCAAAAAATACTTTGAAAATCGCGATCTGCGAGTAGAACGTAAAGAAACAAGACGCACACATGGACATATATACTTAGATTTGTTCAGGAAGTGATTCTATAATAGATGGGGTTTATATTAATTATTTCTGGGTGCTACATACATCTGCACAAGCTTGACATATCTTTGTACCACTTGTGTGTCTAAAAACAAACAAATTCTAGTCACGAACGCTTGTTGCATAAAAATTGCATAAACACCTTGGTCTGTTCTAATTAAGAGCGTGTTTAAATATTTATGTAATATTCGTTAATTTTGCTTAAAACTAAAAATTATCTCAAACCAAACTCGCTTTAATACAGCAGTGATGTGTATTCAGGATAATGCTCTCCCACACACGCGTAATGCGGCCGCGATTGCATCAACTAATGGGTTATTATAACTAGTTAACGATATACGATAGTTTACGTATTATTGTTGGATTAATTTTCCCCAAAGTTTGTAAATATTCAATGGAGCTTTGTATGGGAGAATATTCGGAAAGTGAATGAAGTGAATATAAAATATAAGACTACGTTAGGTGCGTTAAAGGGATTTTGTAAATACGAGTTTTGCATTATCTGGCACATATCGACTTACTATGTATTATTCAACAACAACTTTTTTTTCTAAATAAAACCCTCGATTAAATTGCCGTTACTCAAAGCAGGCTGTTGAAGCTAACAACAAATCATCAATTGTTCTTCCAAGTACATTGAAATCAAAAACTTTTTCATATTGATCACAGTTGTGAATATAAATGAATGAACAAATGAAAAAAAAAAAAAAATTTCTTCCATTGTTACTTTGTACTAAATTGCATACGTGCGATGATGGCATTCCCATTAGTTGTATTCATGCAAATAAAAAATTGTATTACTTTAAGCATTTGCTTTAAATTTTTTTTTTTTTTTTTTTTTTTTTTTTTTTTTTTTTTTTAATGACTTTTTTCACATATTCTCGTTTTGGTCATGCAAATAAATTACTAATAAATATTCATTTATTAAAGCCTAAGGAAGTTGGGAATAATCTACCGAAATATAGATTAAAAAAAAAAAAAAAAAGAAGAGGAAAAGCAAGAAAAACAAGTAAAATAACGTTTACGTTTTAATTGAGTGAGAATATTCAGACCAGGCAGACCACATTACATGTTCTGCATAATAATAATAAAAACTTTTGATTTATTAATGTCATAAAGAGATACTTTGGAAAAGCATTTTAATACACATACACATAGGCACATACGTTTATTTATTCGTCACTATTGTACAAATGTACGCATACATCACACAGACACACAAAAACTTCATTGTAAAATTGCAAACAACGTAAAAATAAACAAAAAAGAAAAAAATAAATAAAACAATAGAAAACGATTAAATCAAAAATTAATTAATTACCGGTGCTTGTGAAGTAACGTAATTGGAAAATATTCTTACAAATGACAACAACAAAAAAAAAAGAAATAGGAAATATAAGTAAAAGAACTATAGTGCCATTAATTACCCTACACCACTTCGCTTAGTACATTTATTCATATGCAGAGTTTTCAAAATAATGCTTTGTAGGGGAAGTGGTCAAGAAAGCGGTCCGATCCGAAACATTTTCGAAAGCCTTCACACCTTGGGTGACAGCACGTCATAGTACCAAATTTCATTCAAATAACTTAAGAGTTTTGATTTGTAGGGTGGATGCCAAACAACAAGACACACAGACGGACAGAAAAAAGCTAAATAGATTAAGCAAATGAATCTGAGTTTATCGCAAATCCTTCTGCAGATAGCCGAACAAATTTAACCGCAAGTGTTGTAGGGTATGAAAAAATACTGAAAATGATGCACCTATAAGAGGAATGATCTACTTTGACCCCTGTCGACATCTGACATGAAATGAATGTAAATGAAATATTCTAAACGTAACTTTGTATATATCGAAGAGCCATTAAAACAAAAAAAAAAAAAAGAAAAGAACAAAAGAATACATTTTAATTAAATATGTTGTACATGGATAAGTATACATTTAAGTATATTTATTTGTATGTAAAATGAAATAATTTGTAAATATTGTTTTAAACATTTATGTCCTACAAATTATCTTGTTGACGTTTTTCTTTTTTTTTTTTTTTGGTATTGTTGTCTTGTTATTAATCAAGCAAAATGTGTAAACTAATTTAATTACATATATACATATCACTTGGGATATGGTAATTTGCGTAGTCTGTAATAAATGTTTAAAGTCCTTGGCATTTGTTTAATCATTGCCTTGTCTCTTGTTCACTAGAGTGGGAGCACATTAGACCTATCATTACGTTTGCAACACTTCAACGAAAAAATTCGAAAGATCTTAACATTTACGTATGTACGTACGCACTTTTGATCGGTGTAAAATTGTGATTAGATTTGAAGCATTCTGTCCGTCCGTCTATTCATTTGCAAAGCGAAAGACAACTAATGTCTAATGCTTCATATGTATATTCATAATTGACGATCGTACATATATGGGCATAATTACCAAGTGGTTGTCGCTCATAAGGGGCAGTAGGCCACTTTCTATAACTTAGATTATGCGCTCTACGCAAGTTTATTGAAATAGCAAAATAGCAAAACACTTTGAATTTTTTTCTAATTTCGCTTATAGAAGGTAGGGACCAAGGAGGCTATATCTTCCGAGCACACACGATAACTCACAAATTTGTAAACTGAGTAAGGTTTTATACTGTTTTACTGTTTTACTCAGGTGTTTTCGCCCGTCTGTTGTTCTTCTCCTTTTTTCCACACTGTTGGAGGTGGCGGAAATGGGGTTCAAGAAGTCTCTCTTAAAGGGACGGTTGTGTGAAATCCAAGTCCTAAGAGGTCAGAATTTGTCGAGTCGTCTTCTTACAGGTCCATCCTAAGCCTCAGAGAATTCACAAATTTTTCAAAATAAGAAGATTCCGAACTGTTTCAAACACACTTGCCAGTTGGTTCGGCTCATCTGCCTTCTTTCTTTCGAACGCCAATATCATCGAAAAGAGGTGTAGAAACAGATAGAAGATCTT